GACAAAATATAGTAACAAGGGACATTACACAAAGTATTCACTGTTATTAGTCTCTCTAGTTAGTTGGTCTTGCTAAAAAAGTCAAACTGATATAACAATATGTAAGATAATAGTAATAAAAATAATAATACTATTGATACTAACTATACTAGTTATTACTGCTATTGCTATTTTACTAGTAATTCTAATAACTATAATGATTTACATAATATTATCTATTTTAAGAATTTTAACGATCCTTATAATACTAATTATTCCATGAATTCTTGTGATTTTCGGAATTTTCAGAATTCGTACTATGTCTAGAGCTACAGTATTATCTGATGTAGTAATTTCCCTATTTACAGCTCTTCTCCACTAAAAAGAATCCATTCTATAGAGGGAGGCTGCAATAGGTCTTGATACTCAGAGGCCCTAAGTTTATTTGACATAGTAAGGTTGATGTAGGCAGTATGATATATTTGTTCTACTTCTAAGAGTTAAAATAGGTAGTAGATCCTAATAGATACTTTTATGTAATAGAGTAAAAGGCATTCCCAGTATAGATTTCTTTTAGGTGCTATTAAAGAACTCAATCGAATACCTAGGTAGTAGGCATGAACAATGGTACTAATTCGATCTCCTGTGTCTTTTGCTTATATTAGTCTCCCAAATACAAGAGCTAATTAAGTTGGTGTATCTTGGAATGTAGTATAAGGGCAGAATTCTGGGATAATGAAAGAGAGTTTGGTCGATTATAAGTTTTCATATATCAAATCTTTAGTGGTCATATTTTTTTTATTTTTTTTTTATTTTCTACCATTAATAACTTTTTCTCTCTTTATATATCTCTTTCGTGATATGATTTCATTATTTTTTTGTTAATAGATGTTGCAAGTACTTTTCCATTTATCTCGCGAAGTTTGTAGACACTATTCGTGAGAATATCATGGATGTAGTATGGCCCTTTCTATTTTAGTATAAAATTGTAGCTACGAGTGCCCTTTATCCTGGAGTTCTCGACAAGGACTTTGTCTACTATCGAAAAATCAGAAGTGGCTTTAATCTGTTGATCATGTCACTTTTTCTGTTTTTGTTAATTTAATTAAATTTGGTGTAGGGCTTCATTACGTGTTCCTTGTAGATTATGGTCGATCTTATATATTCATTAAATAAGAGTCCTATTTAATAAATTGTCTAACTCACTTGGATGTATGGGCAATCTTGCTTTTCTCCTATATACTAAATGAAATAGTATTTGCTGTATAGAGGCTTGTTTTGCGATTCTATATGCAAACAGTATAGGTTGTATGAAAAGATTCCAGTCTGTTAGGTTTGTAACTAATCTGAATATAGAATTACATAATGTTTTGTTAAAGCACTCCACAAGCCTATTTGTTTGAGGGTAGTATAGAGTCGAGTATTGTTGATTAATACTTAAAAACACAAGTAATTCATCGATAAGCTGATTCCTTAAATGGAAACCTTTATTAGATAATATGTAATTAGGGCAGCTATGTCTGCATACTATTTCTTCATAGATGAACTTTGCCACTTCTTCCATGTTATCTCTTGGAATCGCATGTGCTTCAGGCCATTTCGTCATATAATCGATTACTACTACAATATATCTGTTAGATTGAGGCATTATTGATAAGGGTCCAACTATATCTATTCTTATTTTATAGAACGAGGCTACAACAGGTATAGGATATAGTACTTCTTTGAATTTTCTATTGCCATGTTTTTAACAATTAGTGCAAGTTTCAATATACTTGCATATATCTTCGTATATTTGGGGCCAATAGTAACAATCACTAATTTTGTTGAACATAATATCTTTCCTGAAGTGATCTCCTATTGGGTGGTCTTGTACTAAGGTGAGTATTAGTTTCATCTCATTTTCTCATAAGACTTTCATTAAGTTATTAGCTTGTCTTTTGTCTTTCTTATAGAGCAAACCTTCTTTAAACACGAAGAATCAGCTTTAAGCTTCTAACCATTTTCATTGATCCTTAGTATAATGTGACGGGTGTTAGCGATATTGAATATAGATCTTTAATGCTGTATATTGTTATTGATCCATTTTTTGCTTAATGTCAGGACACCAGAACCTAAACTAAATTATTGTCTTAGGACTTGGATATTTGGTTTCTTTAGTTTTACTTATAGCTTTCATATTCTCTCCAATTCTTCTTGTTTGTAAGAATGGTTTGAAATAGTTGGTATCTCGTTCTTCCATGTGATTATATCTTAGGCTTTAGTCAATTTTCTTTCTTTTTTAAGTTTTACTAATTGTTATTCATTTGGCTAGTCTTTGTCTTCTTTGATTCTGGTCTTGCTTATAATGTGCCCCTCCTCGTACATTAAAGTAGTAACCATCCTTATTTTGTCACATTTTTCCTCATAATTTTTTTATTTTTTTTTATTTTTTTTTTTTATTTTATTTTATTTATTTTATTTTTTTATCTTTTATTTCTAATAGTCATCCATATTCTACTAGGCTTTATCAGTGCCTAAACTATCTGGTATCCTATTGAAGTAGCTATCTTCATCATAATAGTCATCACTTTCAGAGTCGTCATATGTTAGCCCTCTGTATTCTTGGTTTAATTTAAGTTCAAGACCTTCGACATTTTCATTTACAAGGTAAACTTCATTTCTGTCATTTCTTTTATTCTTATCGTCTAACAAGTAATATTTTTCTTCATACCTATTTTGCTACGCTCAGATTATTTCTCTCCCTAATTCGAGTGCCAAGTTCCATAGAAGTTGATGGTATCAGGCCTCGTACTGGTATTGAGTAAGTTCCTCTTCTCCTGAGGCAGGTCAGGATTTTTGTCTATTGTTTTCTTTATTAATTTCTTCTTCATAGAATTCCATCATGTAGTCGCTGTTCTACTGATTATTACTTTCATGGTTGATAATTCTACTCTCCATATTGTATCCCTCATCTTCCTCACTTTCTTCTGGAATGTAGTATTCAACATTTACACAAAACACTTCTTTTTCTTCCAGTGTATTCCAGGTTACAAATTCATCAGAATTTTCTCTATCTGATAGAATTCCTTCATTGATGACATTAAGGTTAGTACTGTCTGAAAACTACTCCATCTCATCTTCATCTGTTACTTCAGTCAAATTTTCATCTATGATTTCTATTTTATTTAATTTATGTCCTTTATCTAATTGATTACTTCTTTCATTTTTAGTCTGAGATTCTTTATTGTGTAATATTCTTGTTTCTCTGTAAGAGTTTAAATGTATCGTAATAGTTTAAACAATAAGTTTTAGTTATAAACACAGTTTATAATATTAGCGATA